ATTTGACCGACGGTCAACCGGTTGACTAGGAGGTCGACATGCCAAAAATGGCAATCGACCGGACGTCTCCAAAGGTCAAATTTTTGACCGTTTTGACTTCTGATTTTGTCTGTACAAAAAGTCATTTTGGTCATCTGAAAATTGACGGTCTACCGGACCAGTCATCCGATTTGACAGAAACTTTGACATTTTTCATCTCTATAAATACCTCTTCACTATACATTCATAAACAACCATAAGAATGCTTTCTTGAGAAATATATTTGAAAAATCCTTTTTGAGCTTACATTTTTACATTCATTTCATTTATTTTTTCATAACAAAAACTTTGATTATTAGATCAAACTTCTTGAATTATTTCTCTTATCAAAGTTTTTCATTTCTCTTTATACTTAATTTATCTATATCAATTTTGAAAGAGATATATTTTTTAAGAAGATTTTTACACTTACATTGCATAAACTTTCTTTTTTCTTTTTCTTCATATCGAAACTTTGATTAATTGTACTAAACTTGTAAAATTTTCATATTCATCAAAGTTTCTCATTTCTCTCTTAGTACTTAATTCATTACAATCATCAATTAAAAGAGAGATATTTCTTGAGAAGATTTTTGAACCTACATTGTATTTATTTATTTATCTTCTCATTGAAACACTTTGATTGATTGAATCTAATTTTTGACTATCATATTCATCAAAGTTTTTATCTAACACTTAAACTATCATTTATTACTATTCATTGAAGTGTTATTCTCTCTTAGTACTTAATTTGTTTGTATTATTTATCAAGAAAAGAATTTCATTGTAAAATCAATTTGATAAAGTGTAAGTCATGTCGAAGTCCCTTAAAGATCAACAGCATATAAGGATCGGTGCTCTTTGTTGTAAATCACTATGTGAGTCATATTGAGGTCCCGTAAAGCTCAATAGTATGGTTGTGTTGAGATCCCGTAAAACTCAATATTGTATAAGGATTGTTACTCCTTGTTTGTAAGTCACCGGAAGCATTGTAAGGGGTTGCATTGCACCATAAGTCAATCAACATAGTGAAGATACCTTGCTCGTGCCAGAGAGCTTGGTAACAAGGGACGTAAATAATTGCTTTGGATCGAACCTCCACAAATATATCATTTGCACCATCTCTCCCTTTTACTTATCGCTTTTATATTTGTGCTTACTATTTGGATTAATCTATTTAGTCTTTACTTGCTTGAATTTAGATTAATTCTTCGAAAAAGTTTTAAAAACCAATTCACCCCCTCTTGGTTAGTTATTCTTGGGCTAATAGTTCCAACATTTTTTGCATGTGTAAATTATAAGATGGAATTGAATTAGTACCGCAGCAACATCATTTTGGGAACAATGACCCATGTTGATACAAGCTACTTAAAAGTCTTGCTGGAGAATTGAGACAGCTAGACAAATTAAAGCGGAACATCTTTCTAGCCTTTTACAATTGGTTTGATAATGTTTATGGTGTTATAAAATCAATCAATAGACTTTGCATTGATTGTCGGAGGTGGTCGTTGGACGAGAAATGTCATAAATAGACTTAATGTGATGCAAACATTCATTGAAATTTATTTTTATTGTGTATTTTTATTATTTATGTTTTCTATTATTGAGCTTGTATGATTGGGTTGACCCAAACCCCTCATTAGTAGGGTTATGTTTACCATTTGATTTTTACATTGTAATTGAGACAGTTGATGAATGAATTAATATGCTCGTGTATCAAGTTTTTCTTCCCTCTCCCATAATTTCTCTCTTCTCTCCCTTTCTTGGTGCCTGCTTCTTCTTCTACTTATCTTATGCTGCTTATTAATTCTATGGTGAAATCTCAATCCATCCTGTATCAAATTTGGTATCAGAGCTAAACTTAGGAGATAATTTGTTTACACAACTACAACTCTCACTACCAGTCATCTCCTACAAACCATAGCCACTGTTCTAATCGGTACCTTTTAATAATCCATAGCCCACCAACAATTAACCACCAAAACCCATAATCAATAGACCCATACAACCATAAAATTAGTCACCATCTTCATTATCCCACAAATTATGGTGAACCACTTCAGTTGTTACTAACATTTTGAGCCACAAAAAAAAAATATCAATCGTCGATGGCCACGTCATTCGTCAGTAAGAGTTGCATACCCACAATCGACAGCAGTAATAGTAACTACAGGTACCTTTCCTCAAATCGTGACAACCTCCACCGAGTCGACAAGGAGCCCATATAAAGCCCTGCCGCCAACAGAGTGCCAAGAAATCTCACCGGCTACTTCTAATCGACGACCCCGTGAAGTTAACTCTCACCGGTGGCCATAACCATCATCGACCAGCAGCCCAATATCTACAGGCATGATCGACTTCATTGTGTTGGCCTCAGTTATTATTTATGCCATAGTTTGTAATTTGGGCTCAGTTTATATAATAGTTTAATTTGATTTTTGTCAAAAAAAAATGTATTTCTAACATACATTTTTTTAGGTACCTCTTTTTGACATGCTGATTGGCTTGGTTACTTCGACGAACAAAAGAGGAGCTACTATCTCTTTATAACTAGTTTATATTATTGTTTCATTTTAAAATTGCATCAATTAAATTTTGTGATGTTGTTATTTTAATCTTTACCTTCAATTCACGTCCTTAAATCCCTAACCTTGTTATATTTTCACCTTTATCCTACTTATTTTACGTGATTAAATTGTTAACTAGTATTGACCCTTTCTTTGTTATTTTACATAGATCAACAATATTAGCTTGCCACATTTGGATTTATATAATAAAAAAAAATTTTAATGCTAATGTTATTTTCAGTTCTTAATTGAATTGTTTATTGATCTCCCCATACACTTCATTTAGCTTGTTATACATTGCATGCAGTAGCGTAGTGATTGTCTTGTTATATCTAGTTCCAATACCCTGACCATGGACCTTCCCAATTTGATGATTTCACCCGATAATTAGCACAACTCTTCACTAACCAACAACAGTAACAAACTCAATTAGCGGTTGTCCAAACTGAGATGGCTGCTACTCGTGAAGATAATAGAGACTTAGCTGCTAGGTTGAACACCTTCGAGGAAACCCCACATTCGACTGAAACTTAAAACTCTTAAGAATCGAGTAATAGGCATTATCGTCATCCCCAAGGTGGCCGAAAACATGTTAGACATGACCGTAGAGATGGACGTCAAGTTCATGAACAGGGGCAAGAACATCACCGTCACGATACTCATTCTCCTCCTCGCTACGATGAACATTTCTTTAGAAACATTAAATTGGATGCCCTAACTTTTGATTGTTGCTTAGACCCTAGGGTATTTACTCAATGCGTTAGAGATATGAATCGTTTCTTTTGGGAAAGTGTTGAGGAGCTCTTTGAGAGACGTCGTGCTCTCTCTGTTGGGGGTTGGGATGAAATGAAGTGCCAACTTCAAGAGAAGTATTTACCCCCAATCGTATAGGGGTAATTTGTTGGATTAATGGAATGTTTTTACGCAAGGCAATCGACCAATGACTGAGTACGTCACTCAATTTGATGAATTTCGAATGAGATGTCAGGTCGTTTTAGATGAAGATTTTAAGTATGTTTAGGCAAGGCCTCAGAGATGATCTTAAATGTGAGCTTGTCCTTCGGGGTGTTACTACTCTTAACCATGCTCATTCTTTCATCCAACACTATGAGTTAGTTACTAGGGTTCTGTATAGAAGTTGTGGTGGCAACCGTGCCCCCATCTCCTTAGTGTCTACTCCGTCCCCTAAGTCTATGCTAGGGCCTCTACCATCTAAGGTTTCTCTTGTAGGGAAAAATAAAGGTAAATGTCCTGAAGTTCCAATGACGTCTTCCCGCTTGCAATGCTTTAACTGTAAGGGTTTCAGTCACATTTCCTCTAACTGTCCTAGTACAGCCCTCGTTATGGAGAAACGTGGGGGTATAGTGGATGGCCCGTTAGAGGATTAAGTTTATGAGCCTAAATTTGAACAGTTTGAGGTCTTAGATGATAATGAAGATACTTTCTTAGGTTGTATTCGGACCTTCCTCATGGATCTAGGGTCTGGACCTCTTATTCCCAACACTTATAGATTGAGTGTTGTACGTTGTACCCTTACTCAACCTAAAAATGATGATGATTGGCGTTGTCATGCCATTTTCCACACTTACATCAAGATCAATAATAAAGGATGTAAAGTCATAGTGGATAGTGGTAGTTGCATTAATGCTGTGTCGATGCCTACTGTAACCCGNAACCAGTTCTTCACCCTCAACCGTATAGTGTCTCTTAGGTTGTTACTTCCTTGATAGCTGTAAAAGAATGTTGCCTAGTACATATTCAGTTTCTTGAGTATAAGGATCATATATAATGTGATGTCATTTCAATGGATGTCAGTCATATCATTCTAGGTCAACCTTGGTTGTTCGATTTAGATGTAACCATTTATGGTCGGACCAATTCATTTTCCTTTGTGTATAATGGAAAGAAGATTCACCTTAACCTACTACCCCCATAACCTGTTGGCTCGCATGAAGCAAAGAAAAGCGAGGAACGAAAATGGTTACATATCATTAACCCTACGGAGTTCGAATGCACACTTATGGGCGATTCTGTTGTGTTTACCTTTATTGTTATGGAGGTTCTATTGAACTTCCCAATAATAGCTCTTGCTAAAGCCCAAGTGATCATTCAAGAGTTCCGGAATGTCTTCCTTAAGGACCTACCTGACTAGCTACCTCCTTTACGAGACATCCAACATGCCATAGATTTGGTCCCGGGAGCGTCTCTTCCAAATTTCCCTCATTATAGGATGAATCCTACTGAGCTGAACTTCAGAGGCAAGTAGATAAACTCCTTCACAAAGGATTCATCCGTGAGAGTTAAAGTCCTTGTGCCGTTCCGGCGCTGTTGACACCTAAGAAGGATGACACCATAGATTTGATCCCAGGACGTCGCTTCCAAACTTGCTTCATTATAGGATGAATCCTACTGAGCACGCTGAACAAAAGAGGCAAGTGGATGAACTCCTTCAGAAAGGATTCATCCGTGAGAGTTTAAGTCCTTGTGCAGTTCCCGCATTACTGACACCTAAGAAAGATGACTCTTCGAGTATGTAAATAGATAGTCATGCCATCACTAAGGTCACGGTGAAGTGTCGGTTTCCCATTCCTAGGCTTGATAATATGTTAGATATGATGGTTGGTGCTACAATATTTTCTAAGATCGATTTGAAGAGTGGGTATCACCAGATTATGATCCGCCCAGTAACGAGTGGAAAACTGCTTTTAAAATGAAAAATGTTCTTTATAAGTGGCTGGTTATGCCTTTTTTACTAACCAACGCCCCAATTCCTTTTATGCGAGCAATGACACAGACTCTTCGACTTGTTATGGATAGTTCCTCGTTGTCTACTTTGATGACACTCTCGTCTATAGTAAAACTAAAGAACAATATTGGGATCATCTTAAGCAGGTTTGTTCTGCCCTTCGTGCAATAAAATTGAATGCTAACGTCAAGAAATATCCACTCTTCACCAATAAGTTGTTTTCCTATGATTCATTGTATCCTCTACGAGGGTATCTGTTGACCCTGCCAAGATTTAGGCAATTGTTGATTGGCCTGAGCCTAAGACTATACATGACGTCAGGAGTTTTCATGGTCTAGCTGCCTTTTATATTCGCTTCATCAAGGGGTTTAGTACCATCATGGCTCCTATTACGGAGTGCATGAAGAAATGAGAGTTTCATTGGACACAAGAAGCGATTAAGGCTTTTAAGCTAGTTAAGAAGTGAATGATGAAAGCTCATGTAATGTGCCTTCCCGACTTCGCCAAAGTTTTTGAGGTAGAGTGTGATGCCTCTGGGTTAGGAATATGTCCTTAGTCAGGAACGCCACACTGTTGCTTATTTAAGTGAGAAGTTAAATGATGCCAAATAATGGTACTCGACTTATGATAAATAATTGTATGCAGTTGTATATGCTTTGGGCTATTGGCGCCATTATTTGCTATCCCAAGTGTTCATTCTTTATTTGGGCCAGGAGGCCCTTCGTCATTTCAATGCCAAAAAATGTTGAATTCTAGGCATCGTAGCTGGATTGAATATTTGCAGGCCTATTATTTTGTTTTGAAATATAAGAAAGGTGTTGAGAACTAGGCAGCTGATGCATTAAATCGTTGTATCTCCCTTTTGTCGACTATGAGCGTCAATGTCATAGGTTCTGAATGACTCAAAGAGGATTACAAGACATGCCCTGATTTTAATGATATCTTTCTTGATTTACAAGGAGGACGGTCGGATACTGTGGATGATTTTCGCCTTAGGAAGGGTTATCTTTTTAGAGCCAATAAATTGTGCATCTCTCTTACTTTAATGCGGGACTTCATATGTGGGAAATTCNTGTGCGAGACTTCATTGTATAGGAAATTCACGTGGGAGGCTTAGCCTGTCACTTTGGGCGAGATAAGACCATAGAGGAGATTGTACGTCAATTCTATTGGCCTAGTTTGAAAAAGATGTGGCTAAGATAATACATGTAACACCTGTCGTTGGCCAAACAGAAGATGCAAAACACCAGTCTGTACACACCTCTTCATGTTCCTGATTGCCCCGGCAAGATGTGAGTATGTATTTTATGCTAGGACTTCCACGTACCCCGAAGAAGCATGATTCTATTTCTGCAGTAGTCGATCGTTTCTCCTAAATGACTGATTTTATTCCTTGTAGTAAGACCTTAGATGCGTTCAAGGTTGCTACGTTATACTTTAATGAAATTGTCAAATTATATGGTCTTCCTAAAACCATTGTGTCATATATCGATGTTCGGTTCACTAGTCACTTTTGGATAACGTTGTGGCAAAAGGTTGGTATAAAATTGAAATTTTGTACTGTTTATCACCCGCAGACTGACGGTCAAACAAAAGTGGTTAGCCATAATCTTGGTAATTTATTAAGATGTCCGGTGCAAGAAAATCTTAGAAATTGGGATTTGATTCTTCGTACAACTAAAATTGCATATAACATTTTTATGAATCGATCTTTATGTATGAGTCCATTTGAAATTGTTTATGATTTTAAGTTTAGGAAGCCTTTAGATCTCATTTTGATGTCCCTACATGCCAGAGTGTCTATGTCAACTAAAGCATTTTCACAACATCTTCATGACTTTCATATTGAGATCAATAAACAACTTGAAACTAGTAATGTATCATATAAACTTCGAGCTGATTTGCAAAAAAGATATGTTATGATCCGAATTAGACTGGAGTGGCGTCTATATGGATCCACCTCCAAATTTCAAGTTCGTAGTGATGGTCCTTTTAAAATTTTAAAGCAAGTTAGCCCAAATGCATATGTTCTTGATCTTCCGCCACATCT